TAATTAAAGCGGATAATCGATTCTGATCTATTGTACTTTGAGAAGACAAAATCAATAATTAGAAATAAGCTTACCATAATATATATAACACCAATTCTCTTACCAAAAAGTTTTATATTCCTTTGTTCGGTCATAAGAATGGCCTTCAAGTCTACATTTACATAAATAAGAGAAGGCTTTTTCACGATTCCTGGAGAAATAATATTCCCCTAATTCAAAAGCTAATTGACAGCGGAATATTTTGTGAATTGAGTCTGAAGGTGAAATAGAATCTTGCAATGCAGACCCTGTGATAAACGCCTTTAATCAAAAAAAAATAAAAAATAAAAAAAAATAAATTAAATAAATAAATAAACATAATAATAATAAATAAATAAATAAAATACCGCAATATCTTTGCCTAATCGTTCATATAAATTTTCCAACATTATTATGGATTTTTCATATGGATCAAATTCAAAACCAAAGTTGACGTTATTATACTTTGATCTTATTATCCATCGATGAAATAAAACTACAGGATCATGGCGCGGATCCCTCTCGTAAGGATGGCTAATTAAATGAGAAATAGCTTTAATAAAGTAGTAAAACATGGCGAATGTTCATTGTGAGAAAAGCTAAAAATAACATACTTTCCGAGTGGAATCAAGACATGAAAGACTGCAGGTTGTACATTAACAGGTACATTTTGTTCGATATGCTGTAAATATAATCGCGTTTTTTGTATAATCTATTGAACGTAAAAACCATATGTTATAATTACGAATATTGTATGATAAAACATTCAAGAAAATTCAAAGTACAAAAACGAACCCTGCACGCGATTCGCACTGACTGAAATTGATGTGTAGACAACGAGAAAGTAATAGGATTATTCGAAGATAGCAGGATAGGGCCGGGAAATTCGGTTTCACTAAGCAGAGATTTAAGTTTTTGACCACCAACTTCTTGTCGTCTATCCAAGGGCACTTTATCGAACTTTAATTTAATAAAATTAATTACCGTATAATTTATTTGTTGAAGTAGATTGAACACACTTACATAAGTTTCAAGTTTACTAAAATCAGAGCACCACTCAAGTACTTCTTTATTTGCGGGAATTACAGGTCGAATTACAGACATTATGAAAAAAAATATGAATTTTTTATTTGATTAACCGGTTAACAAAAAGTTTATTTCACACGATAATCATTTCCTTTTTTTATTTGGAATCATGCACATTATATCATAAATTCACGCGTCCTCATACGAAATCCTATAATGATGGAAAGGGACATTCCAAAAATTCAGGCAGATACAAAGGAAGATATACTTTATATACAAGAGGAAA